ATTCTTCTATTCAAAAAATACCTTTCTTTGCCAATTATGATTATCCATTACGACTTCATACTTTTGACTTTTCAAAAGTTAATAATCCTATGATAAAAGATTTAATAAATCATTTATCAAAGCTACATATAAAAATTAAGACACAATTAAAAGAAGCTCAAGAATGACAAAAGATAAATGTGAATGCCTATCATAAGGAGCAACCACAATTCAATATGGTTGATAAGGTATAGTTACTTCAGTGTAATATCAAGACTATTTATTTTTTTGATAAATTAGACTATCATAGATTGAGACTTTTTTCTATTTATAAATAAATCAATCATGTTGCTTATTGATTACATCTATTAGAGTCTGAAGATCTATCCTATATTTCACATGTCTCTTCTTGAACCATATAAGATAGTGAATATTTTGGGAAGAAGACAAATGCCACCTCTTCTTATAAAAGTGAATAATGATTAAGAGTTTAAGGTGGAAGAAGTCATAGATTCAAGGTGATATCAAAATAGATTAGAATATCTTGTTCATTGTTGTGGATATGATATTAGTAAATGCACATGGGATGAAAGTAAGAATTTTGCAAATACAGCAAAGAGAGTTGAAGCTTTTTATTGATGACATCCATCAAAATCAAGATAAAGAATAACAAATCTTTGCTATAAAAGAAACAAGATCAAAGGAAGATAACATTCTATCTTCTATATTTTTTTGTAGTTTTTATGTATTTGTGATATTAAGGAGATGGAAAATCAATAATTAGTAGATTCAATTCAAAAACTTTCATTTGTAAATTTATTAGGTGAGACATTGCAATTGTCACAACCTTCAAGACAACAAAATTAAAATGAAGATCATCAAGAACGACATGTCTTTCTTCAAATAGATGGCGAGATACAATGTATTTGATATCATGATGTTGGAAGAGAATATCGATATTTAGTACTTTTATTAAAAGCAAGAACAACTCTTGACAGTGTTCCAAATATTTTATTTGAAGAAAATTATGAAGGCCTTAACAAAAATCAAATAATAGGGTGGTCTTCTTGCCCTAGTATGAGACACTATTGATGGTTGACAAGACCTATCAACTATCTTTGAAGAGAATACAGATCAGAGTATGTAGCAAATACAATTTGTCGCATCTTAGATTTTTTCAACATATGAAGACCGCTCTTTGTGGAACTTGTGTCTAGAAGAAGGGATAATATCATAGATATATATAGATTCTCTAGTAAATACATATATGATTAGGTAGGAATAGATAAAAATAAATAAAAGTAAGATAATTTCATAAGACCTTTTAAAAAAACTTCCTAGAAGTTTTATAGACATATATTAAGGATTTTCTTTCCTCGAGATTCATGTCCTTGACATATCAATAATAATTTTTATAAATCTCATGTTACTTTTAGGCTTGAATTCAAATATTTGCAAAATATATTTGAAATGTACCATCAACTACTATCAAGATGATTAGACAACTCATTGGCCATTGACAAAATTTACTTATAATAACATAATGCATTCTTTATTTCAACAATTATCATCTACAATTTGATATTTTTAACTTTTAAAAGTTAATAATTTTACAACAAAAAATTTGGAATTTTTTTTATTAAAACGAAATGAAAAAATGATAAAAAAATTAAAAAAAAACTCATAAATGAAAAAATATCAATATAGATATCTATTACAATGAACAATCTTAAGTCTTAATTAGCAACAAATTTTGGTGAATTTATCATAATATTAAGATTATATGATTTTGTAACAAATAAAATTGCATTAGAATTAGACCATTTTTTATTTGAAAATAAATCTAATTTTATATTGACTAAACTTACTAAAATATATAAAAATCTATTTTATATTCTATATGTCTTATATTGATCCATAGTAGATAATAGATATATAATGAAAAAGAAAAATATCACCTTTCTATAAAAATATATAATAATTAAGAATTTGAGGTAGAAGAAGTCCTAGATTCAAAAAAACACTCAAATAGATTGGAATATCGTGTACATTAGCTCGGATATCATATTAGAAAATATATATAGGATCCATTTTGAAATCATGCAAATATAATCAAAAAGGTTATTTTTTATTATTAACATCCATAAAAATTAAGGTCAAGAGTCAAAAAAATCTTGTTGTAAAACAAAGCACGTTCAAAAAAGATTTTATTCTATCTTCTATCATCTTTTTTATTTTCTTTATATTTGTAGTCCTAAAAAAATAAAAAATCAATAACCAACAAGTTCAACTTAACAACTATCATTTGTTGAATTACTAGACAAGACATTGAGATTGTCACAACCTTTGAGACAATATAATAAACATGATGATTCACAAAAATGACATGTTCTTCTTTGAGTAGTTGGTAAAATACAGTATGATTAATATCACAACCTTAGAAGAAACTTTAAATATTTGGTGATATTATTAGAAATAATATCAATCCTAGTGGTGTTCTAAATATTTGATCTAAAAGAAGTTACAAAGGCATTAATAATGATCAAATAATAGGATAATGTTTTTATTTTAGTATGAAATACTATTGTTGGTAGAGAAAACTTATCAATTATCTTTAAAGGAAATAAAGATGAAAGTATATAGTAGATATAATTTGTTGCATCTTAAACTTTTTTAAGATATAATTGCCATTCCTTGTGAAACTTATTTTTAAAAGAAGGAATAATATCATGAATATAATTGATACTTATAATTATATAGATGAGAGGATTTAATTAGAAATAAATAAATATAAATAAATTTAATAATATCTTGTATAAAAGCTTCTTACAAGTTTTATAGACATAGATTTGACTCTATGTATTTATAGGTGATTAATAAGTTGAAAACTTAGCCAACAAATTGGCCACATATTGGCCACTTTTGATATAAGTTAGCCATATGGTATATATATAAGAAACTTATCTTGCAAGTTAGACTTAAGTCTTACAAGTTAAACTTATGTCTTATAAGTTAGACATGTATAGAAGGTCTTATAGAACGTTATCACATAGATCCTAATAAGATTATATATATATATATATATATAGATAGAGAGAGAGAGAGAGAGAGAGAGAGAGAGAGAGAGAGAGAGAGTGAAGAATAAGGTATTCTTTATTATTGTCAATGTCTTTTTTTTATTATTATTATTTTTATTTCATGAGTCTTAAATTATTTTATCTTTGGCAATAGCTTTTCTAATTTTAATAATATAGTATTATTGAATAAATATCTATTTTTTTTAATGACATAAGAGTGAATTGATTCTTTAGTTGTTTGTGATTTATATCTTTGATACAAAAAAATCATAATTATATATATATATATATATATATATATATATACAAATTTTTAAAATAATTTAAAAGATAGATATTTAATTAATAAATTTTATTTAAAAGATGTAATATTTACCAATTATACAAACCTAAATTTCATATAATCTTAAAATTTTAATATTAAAAATTATAATTTATATATAAAATCCATATATTATTATATATTTAAATAGATATTAGATATATTTTAAATATTAATTATTTAATTAAATTTAATTAAATTTTAAATTTTTGATTTTATTTTTTATGTTATATTTTGATCATTATCAAGATTAATTCAATCAAAGAATACCTTATATAAAACTTAGTTGATGCATTTATGACCACTAAAGTTATGGATTTAATCAAAATTAATAGCTATAATGTATAAATTTTTATGGAGTCTTTATATCTTGAAGTTCAATTTGAATGGCTATAGTTCAAAAGCCTTACAAAGATTTCTTTGTTGGTGAAGATAAGCCCTCCTTTAGAAGCCTTGGCTGTTGGATGTAATATAAAGTGAGAAGAAGCCAAATTAAGAACCAAACTTTTTTTTTTTTTTTTTTTTTTTTTTTTACAAGTCTAAATAAGTAAAATGGTATCTTGGTTTAAGGACATTGTATCTCATTTTTTTTTTCTTTGGACTTTTGGTCTAATTTTTCATGTTTATACTTATGTTTTTTTATATGTGTGCATATATATATATATATATATATATATAATATTAGAATTGTGGAATGAATTACATGTAACACACATGATAATTTCTTCATAATTTATATGTTTTAAATCAATTATGAACTTCTAACAAAAAATACTGATATTCAATATTATGGCACCAGTTATGAATGCGTGTTAATTTATGGTGTGACTGTTCTGAACCAATGGATTCTTTCTATTTGTGCGCAATCATGTGTGCATGAAACAAACAAGAGCATCAAACGCCCTTGAGAAAGAGATCGAAGTTACCGTAGAACCCCGGCACTTTGTCTGATGCTACGATTGTGAAACACCACATTCTCCCACTTCTGCACCGCGTGAACAATTCTGATCACCGATTGAATTGGCAAAGGATTTTCATTCGACACTCTAATAGGGGTGAGGACTTTTCTAAGGAACAGCTCGTAATTCTATATACTTGGCTACTTGGTGCGTTTTGGAAAGCTTACAATAATAATAATTCTGAGAGACTCTCTAGCTCTGGATAATTGCACAATCTTGGAGAGGAGGATCTTTAAATTTCCGAGCACTGGCTGATGTAGTGATCGTAGATGCTTAACTTCCATTTTTAGAGAAATCGAGGAAATTATTGTGCTGAGATGACGTTGAAAATTATTGATCTGCTTGAAGAATATCCTTCCAGTATCTGGGATATCGAAAAGGGTAAGATTCTGCGTAATTGATGGCTAGAACTTTGGCATTCCGCCAATATCGCTCGTGAAGCCGGTGTAGAAGCCAGGTATTCCGCGCGTGCATAGATCTACTGCTACATTACTGGTCTTTAGCAGTGCTGCTTATTCCCAGCCATCATTCCAAGCGGAGCAATACATCATTTTGGAGAACTACACTCGATAAATATGGGAAGGATTTGGCTACAGACTGCACTTCTATTTCAAAAGTAGTGGTGATACTTTGGACTCGACACGTAGAGAGCGAAAGAAGATATTTGTGAGAACACGGAAATGTGAGATTTATTTACAAATGAACCTGCAACAACCAAGAATATTGAGACACAATCAGTCACAAAACACAGCACTCAATACAAGACTAAGCTTCATCTTTCGGTTATACTGTTTCAGCAGTGTCGGGAAAAAAGTCCCGCAGCTCCACTAGAGTTGTGCGTGGCAGTCACACCAATCGCCACGTCTCGAGCAATCGCTAGTTGACCATGCTGGCTCTAACAAAGGTCGACGCAAATTCAAGTGTGGAACTTCTGCTGCAGCATTAGGATGGTTCCCCAAATGACCACGAAGATGATGCTAAATGATCACACAAAACCGACCACTCTAAAAGATTCTGAGGGGGCGAAGGAAAAAATTAAAAAGTCATTGTTCACCTCGAAACAACTCCTCGCGAATGTCGACAAAATGACCCCCGCAAATAACCAGCTATTTGTGTCAGATGTCCACTAAGCTTCTGGACGTCCACAGCGAGATCCTCATGTCAATCGAGCAGCCTATGTACTGTTACAAACCACAATTCATGGATTCTTTAGCGCCCTTGAGACACTCCATCTATTCTTACTGTTGGCCTCCCATGAGCTCTTGAAATTCCGAGAAATCCACATGGCCATCTCCGTCTTTGTCCACGCCACCGATCATTTGTCGACATTCCTCAAGGGAGTGCCCTTTCTCTCCCAGACTTACCAAAACAGATTGCAATTCGGTAGCAGATATACGCTTGTCTCCATCCTTATCAAACGTTTGAAACGCATCTTTCATCGGGTCGGGAACCGGAGATACTTCGTCGCCAGTAACTAGAGCCCGGGCGCCAGATTTGTGAAATCCAATGAACTCGTGCAAGCTAATGAATCCATCATTGTCCATATCAACCTCCTTCATGATGTCAACAAGCTCCTCCTCCGAAATTGCTCCGCCAAGAGACGTGAGCACGGACCTGAGCTCTGCAGTGGAAACTCTCCCGTCCTTGTCAGCATCAAAGACATTAAACGCTCTTGTCAATTCGTCCGCCTTCGAGGAAACCAATGTCGGCAAAGGCGCCTCCGCTCCATGCTCAAATGTCCCCGACTTCGTGTTCTTCGATTTCAAGCTAGCCCTGCTCGTTATCTTCGAAATCAAACCATGTTTGCCGTTCCCCTCCTTCGGTACCTTCGGTGCACTTGGAGGAGCAGCGGCCGCAGACGCAGTTGAACCCCCGCCATTAGTATTCGCAGTTGCACCACTCTCCTTAGACTTCACAATACTCGACAATCCTTTCATAGTGTACGTTTCTGCCTGAAGCTATCAATACAAAACTTACCAGCTCTGCTCTCCTCTCCTTTCCTCTCCTCTCTGATCTCCTCAAAATCTCCGAATCTCTTCTAACCTCGTAATAATCCACTTCAATACACCGCTGATGACACCCCACGAGTCAACAGACCGCGAAGGATCGAGCCATTATAGAACTCCGGTGTCAGAGATTCGCCTCTTCAGATCGGATATGCGCGGTGTCGTTGCGTCAAAGCTCCCCCGTGCTTTCCCTGATCCTGTCCGTGGCGTTGCTCCACAGGCCATTCGCATCATGGCATCCAGATCGGATTCCGTGCTGGAATCTGCGAGGCTTCATGGGGAGGGTGTACGATTTCACTCGAGAAACCATCCCTGAATCTCACAGATGAGCCGTAGTGGTAGTGTACTTTGAAATAATAAAAAAAGTAAAATTCTTTCTAAAGGTATGGGATATTCCTTCATGTGTTGTACGGTAGTCGACACATTCTTGACCACCCCCATTTCCAACAAATAGGGTGTACTATTTCCGTTAGTTCAGCGACTAGGTCTGACATGGATTGAAAATTTTCATTTCCATTGATCGGAAATTAGTCGAATTATGTATCACATCAAATAAATAAATAAATAATTAATTAAATAAATAATCCCAAAACTTCATGTTATGAAAAAATAATTTAAAAAATACTGAATTTTAACAGGATATATCTTACTGAAAATATCTCAAACTCACTTATTTTCACGGTTTCAATGAACTTATTAAGCAACATGAGATTTTAAGTGTGATAAGGAAGCTACAGTAAACCATGACTTAAATTGGTGTCATTCCTATTCGAAAAGTCAAAAGGTTATAGAATATATTCATAATTTGAAAAAAATAAATAATAAATAAAAAATAGCCATCATTTTACTCAAAATTGAACTTATTTCTGAAAAGATACAAATTATCCGTGTTAAATAGAATCATAAAATTAATAGCTAATTCTGGTAAATGACAAATACAAGGCAGCATATTCACATGAATATCCAACCTACCAACCTATTTTGTTTGGCCAGTTTGTAAGGATCCTATTGTAGAGTAGGTAGGCGTGGAGTCGTGGTCATTAAACATGTTTTGTGAGCATTAGTGGCAAAAAAATTCATTATTTTTTTCTAGCTCATACACCCACTTCAGTTGAAGAAGAAAATCTAGATGTCAATGCGTGTTTTTTATACTGTAGTATTAGATGGACTAGATTGATGGTTTGTATCTTTTTATTGTAAAACATAATTGTAATACATTCCAAAATATCAAACTTGGGTCAATGTGTTTGTGATTGTATATTGGAACATATTGAAAAGCTTATTTGATATTGCTGTTTTTCAATCATTTAACTGAAGAAAGTGGTGTTGGAATTGATGGGGTTGGTGCACAAATTGCATATTTCACTCTTCTTCTTCTGATTCTTCGTTTACTGTGATTTTATTAAGTTGATAAACATAATAAAAATATCCATAAAACTTTTGTGTAAAAATTTTATATTCTAAAATAATTGTTTTTTTTTTTTTTTTTTTTTTTTTTGGTATTTTTTCCTCTTGTGGAATAAATATCTTGTTTAGGTGCAATATTTTATACATACATATAAACATAGTACAATTCAAATTTTAGAAATAATTTTAGTAGTTTTAGAAGATTTAAAATGATTCCAATAAGCTCTAAAAGGTTCCAAAAGACTATTAAAAGCCTCTAAAAGGTTCTAGTAGATATTAGATGGCAAAAAAAAAATTCTAGAAGGATTTAAGAAGTTGCCCAAGAAAGATTGTAGGATTATTTTATCCTCTAAAGAAACTCTTTCATATGGTTTTTTAGTTTTGGACCTTTGCTTGTTTTTTTTGTAAACTTAATATTCTCATGTATGTAATACTTTTTAACAATATGATTTATCTCATATGAGTTCATATATTCAATGCATATTATTTTTATTTTTTCTATTAATAATATATTATAACTAAGATATTTAATTATTAATTTTGAGTATTTTTTACTATAATTAGTTAAATATGATTTATTCAATATATAATTATATTTTAAAGTCTAATTCTTTTGATGATTTAAACAATTAAATTTTTAACTTTTAACAATTTTTTGGTGAATTTTTAAATATAAAAAAATCTACTATTCTTGATAATTCAAAGTATTAACTTCCAAGATTTTTTTTTAATATTTTCAAAAATATTTTTATAAAACTTATAAGAATAAAAATATTCTAAAATCTATTTTTGAAATGATTTGATTTGCGACCAGTTTTTAGGATTTAGGGTTTAGGATTTAGAGTTTGTACAATTGTTTAAGAAAAAAAAGGTGTCTAGTCACCAAAAAGAACATATTGTTGGACATTTTAACATCTCAAGCCTATCAAGGTCTCTCTTTTCTATCCAACCTACTCAATAATTTACCATTCTTTTGTTCTTTTGCCTTCAAAAGTTTCATAGCATTGCTTTATTAGTTTTAAAGATATTCATTTATTTTCTAAATAATTTTTTTCTAAACTTTATAAAGTTATTTGGCAGAAAAATCCAAACTTGTTCATATGAAATAATAGATTGACAATCTTTGAATATTGATAGTATTAATTATAAAACAATATTGTTAGAAATTGCATTACAAGATCATAATAATCAAGTTGTCTTGAAAATTGTTATAATTCCTTTGAATTTTGTTATCATATGATTTTCTTGGTTGAAAAAATATAATTGACCTATTGATTGAAGGTTATATAAATGACATTTTTAATAGTTTTTTTAAAAATAGAACCTATTAAAAAGTCACAAATTTATAAGACTATATTTGTTGAAGCAAGGGCCTTTATAAAAATAGCAAAAGAGGGTACATCATTTTTTATCTATGCAACTTGAACTTGTGACAATGTGACTTCATTAACAAATATTCCAAAGTAATATAAAGAATTTTAAGTTGTCTTTGAAAAGAAGAATGTTAATATACTATCGAAGCATTGTACCATAAATCTTCAAGAAAGAATAGAACCACATTTTGATCCAATTTATAATCTATTTCAAAATGAACTTTTAGCATTAAAATATTACATTGAAGAAAACCTTGCAAATTTTTTTATTAAATATTCAAAGTCTCTAGGAAGTGAATCTATATTCTTTGTAGAAAAAAAAGATTGATCTTTGAAGATGTACATTAATTATTAGGATTCGAATAAAAATTTCGTAAAAAATCATTATTTTCTATCATCAATATTAGAGCCTTTAATACAATTTGATCTAATGAAGATCTATATTAAAATAGATCTTTGTAGTACTTATAATTTGATGAAGATCAAAGAAGGTGGTGAATAAAATACTATATTTTAGATAAGGTATTAAAAGATCAATCTTATAAAATGCACCAATTAACTTTTAGCATTTAATAAATAATATTTTAAATAATATTTGGATAAATTTGTCATTTATTATCTTAATAATATCTTAATCTACTTGAAGGCTTTAAAAGAGCATGAAGAGTATGTGAAGTTGGTATTATAAAAACCACAAAATATACATTTTTATGCCAAATTAGAAAAATACATGCTTTATCAACTAAACATAGAATTTATAGAATACATTGTATCTAATAAAGGCTTAATAATGGATCCAAAAAAAATACAAGTTATTTAAAAATTAAATAACTTCAAAGATAAAAAGAGATGTATAATATTTTTTAGTTTTGCCAACTTCTATTGGATCTTTTTAATGAATTATTTTCAAGTGGTAAACTTATTTACTCAATTGACATGGACACACAAGTTGGAATGGGGGCCATAAGCAAAAAAGGCTTTTCAAAATATCAAGATAAATTTTATTATAATTCCAATCTGGGTATATCTATATTTCATAAAGATGTTGTATAATAAAATTGATGCTCTAAATTTTGCACTAGAAATAATATTATTACAAATGGATAAAGATAAAAAAAAATATATATTTAGTTTTATTTTATCTTTGAAAGTTTTTCAATTGCTAAAATTAATTATAAAATCTACAATAAAATACTTATTACTAGTATGAATTTTTTTTAATAATGCTATCATTTACTTGAAGGAAAATTACATCTTATGCTTATATATATAAATCACAAGAATTTGGAATATTGTATATCTGTCTAAGTTCTAAATCATTACCAAGCTTAATAAAACATGTCTTTATCTTTGTTCAATATCATCATTAGATATCAATATGAGAAGCAACAACGACTATTAAATGCCTTATTTTAAAGATTGTATCTTATATCAAAGATTGGAGAAGTAGTCTTTAATTAATAATATAAAACTCTATTAGAACAAAAGAAATTTCAATTTTGTACTATTATTGTAGTAATATCTATTAATTCTATATTTTTTTACCAAATTTTTATAACATCTATTATTGATAGTTTAATATATGATATAAAAAGTTGATCCAACAAAAATGTTAATAACTTCAAGTTTGTAGAACATCTTTTATAATTTGAAGAACATCTATATATTCCAAAAGGACTAATATGGTTTATCATCCTTCAATCTTGTTATGATTTTTTAATCATAAGATATTTTAAATTTAACAAGATATTGAAGTTTTTTTATTAGGATTTTTTATGGCATCAAATACAGAAGGCTATAAGATACCTTGTTCTATTTTGTGTTATTTATTCAAGATCAAAAAACTTGTAATATCATCTATATGGATTCTTACAATTGTTGCTAATTCTAAAACAACCATGGTCTTTAATTTCAATGGACTTTATTATTGACTTGTTGCCATCAAGTTTATTTGATTTTATTTATATTATCATAGATTGGCTTATGAAGATGATATACTTTAAACCTTTCAAGAAAATAGCTTTTAAAGAATAAATAATAAGATTCTTTTTAAATAACATATATAAATATTATGATCTTGCAAATGGCATTATTTTTTATTAATGATCTCAATTTTTTTCAAAGTTTTGAAAATATTTTTGCCTTTCACTTTCAAATTGATAGTTAAACAAAGAAAATTAATGAAGCATTAGAGTAATATTTATATTGTACCATCAACTTTCAACAAGATGATTAAATTTTATATTTATCCTTAAAAGATTTTACTTATAAAAATATTCTACTTGGATTGGTTTAACAATATTATTTTATGCCAACTACAATTATCATCTATTGTTTAGCTTAGCAAAACCAACAAACAAAAATCTAATTGTAGAAGATTTTATAAAGTAATTATTATAGCTTTAGATAATTTTGAAGCTTCAATTATAAACTATCAAGATTCTTTTAAGACATCATTAAATAAATTTCAAAAAGAAATACCT